ATATTTAACTACTAAACTTTTATATTTATGTTTAGTGATGTTTACATATCTCACACCTAAATTTTCATATTTATACACATGGCACTCGAATCTTTTAATATCACATCAAAAATAGAACTATTATCACTTTCTAAAAGTGAAATACAAAAGTGAAATACACATTTTCATTCATAGGTTTCAAGCACCAGAGTGTTATGTAAGAAAATATGAAAATTTTGGTGTGAGTATGTAATTGCATAATAATTGCGTTAGGTATGTAAAATTTCATTACATTTATAACATTTTTTGTACATATATTGCATGAATATATGTATTTCACTTTTAAGAAGCAAGTAAAAGTGATATTTTTTATGTGATATGAAGGATTTGAGTGCTCTGCATGTAAATATGAAAGTTTAGGTGATAGAAATGTAAATATATAGGAATTGTGTCATATTTATGTGAATTAAAGGCATAGTTTTCAAATCAACCATATTGAAATTTGATTTTTTTTTTTTTTAGTTGGTTTCTTTACCAATATATCAAGAAATGTCTGCCGACTCAATCCACTTGAGCTTGCCAAGGAAAGCCCTTCGGATAATGCGTTCATCATACTGCAAAAGCACAGAAATATGATTCAAAAAACATTTAACATCGATAAATAGGTTTTATTTCACAAAAATTAAAAAAAAATATTTAATATTGCTGTTTATGTTGACTTAATGAAGTAAATTGGCTCATTCTATCAAACGCAATAATGGAAGATATAGTATCTCAGCTAGTCAAAAATACCTGCGTCTGGTGGCAAGTGTGACACTTGTGCAAACCTGACGAATTGGCCTATCGGTACAAAATTGTCAAAAAAATGATACTGCAATGCTTAAATATTTTTTGAATTATGTACAGTACTTCATTAAGTTATTTTCAAATATAATTGCTCTTTGAGGAATAGTTCTTCAAAGCTTTTCTGCCTTTTTTTTATGGCTTGTGGTTTCTGTTTTTGGATGTTTGAATTGGTTATGCAGGGCTCCCTTAAGTGGGAGGGCTGATCCGGCTATATCCAACCAAACCGGACTAGCCAAGAGAAGGAAAGGTTCGGCTGGGCGATACTGTTGGGTTAGGGTTTCCGCCCAAGGGAAGGGGCCTCCCCATCTTAGTTATCTACTATATATACGCCTTTTCCTTGTGTTGGGGTTTAGTTTTCTTGATTTTAGATTTCTCGCCGTGGGCATTTCTCCCTTCCTAGGATGGTATCCAAAGACAGGTAGTGCTCCAGTTGTATTATGCTCCGAGATGATGACTATCTCCCCACATCACGCACTTATTCCTTTCCCCCGCTCGCTTCTCTCCCACCGAGGCAACTCCACTCCCTACAGCATCCCCTCCTACTGCTGTAATCCCCTTCCAACCTCTCATCTTACAACCACAAACCCTTCAACCTTCCTACCAGTCATCGTCTATCACAACCCGACCAGAGGCTATTAACACTTCATTTTTACTTTTGACATTATTTTTTTCTTTCATAAACTTCTAAAATATAAAAAAGTCACTAATATTCACAAAATACAAGAAGTTTAAAACATTGAAAAACAATAATAATAATTTGAAGATAATATCAAACCAGTATTTAACAGTGTATCACTAACTGAAAAAAAAAATACTATAAAAAAATTATCATAAATATCTAACAGCAGTGGTCCTCCTATAAACCAAGTCTCTCATATCAGTAGGACTATCAAATTGACTCGTTGTTCACGAACAGTTCATGTTTGACTCGTTGTTCACGAACAGTTCATGTTCGACTCGTCAAGAAGCTCGCGTTTGATTCATTTGCTAAACAAATGAGCCGAACACGTATAAAGATTTATTCATTCGTGTTCGGCTCATTTTGGCTCTAAATAATTAAATTAACTATATATATATAAATGGATGTAAAAAATGAA